TTTAATCGAACAATATTGAATTAAGAATCAATTCTATTTTAGATCTCGATTTTCGAATAGTTATCCAATTTTTATTGTATTTTCAAATTTATATAACATTTCAATATATCACGAGAAACGGAGCTCGAAAACTCCATTATTATACAAAGAAATAATTTTCCTGATTATATCAATTTTTAATATTGTAAACAATATGATTTATATTATATAGTATTGTATAGTTAATGTTATATAAGAACTAGATCATGTTATGTTGTAAATAGATGGTAATTATCTTTTTCCATTAAAATGTTAATAAAATAAAATATATTTATTGTTATAACAAAAATAAAATTTGTTCATTAGTGGTTGAATTTAACCAACTTTATCTTAACACATCCAATAAAATAAATTACATATAAATTATATAAAAGTGTGAACAAATATGAACAAAATATACTTTAATCCATTGTGACCAAATTATTTTAGATTAGAATAGAATATTCTAGGAATAAAATAATTATCACTTTTTACACTATCAAATTAAATATAGTCCCAATAGATTATTGACAATTATATACTTACATAGTACAACAGTAAATAATTTCTTCATTTAGTTTTTTCATTAAGTTCACTTTCATCAGCATTATTAATAGCATCCAACAAAGATACAGGATCAGGTTTGTTTGCAGTGGCAAAAACTTTAAGACCAACATCAAGTAATGCTTGTCTAGTCACAGGTCCAATAGCAACTGCTTTTATATTATTTAGATCATAAGACTTTTTTTTCAATAATGTTACTATGTATTCTACTGTAGATGGACTAAAAAATATGAAGATTTTGGGCACATTGTCCATGAATTTTAATAGATCATGTTCTAAAGTTTTACTAGCCAAAGTTTTATAAACAACTATTTTATGAATTTTAATGTCATTTTCATTAAGAGTTTTTTCTATTGTCTCACGTCCAATTTCACTACAAGGGTAAAGTAAAGGTTTTGACTTTTTTGCAATCGAGGCCACTAACAATTCTGCTAATTCTTTGGCATTACCAGCCTCTTTACCAAAGCAGTTCTCTGAACCTAAGTGACTTTTAGCAAAAGACTCTGTTGCTGGTCCTACACAATACACTGGCAAAGTTTTCCAGGGAAGTAGAATGTCAGGATCTTCTTTTGCAGAAAGTTCAATTGCTTCTGCAGCACGACGACTTGTCAGAACAAGTCCTGTGAATATATTGTATGAAAAATGAAAATAATTTGAATTTGAAAAGAATTAAATTTACTTATAATGTTATTACCATAGTATGAAGATGATGATAAAAAACATGTCCTCAATTCCGAAATATTTACAAATTCAAAGCGCAAAGTAGGCAAACAATCGCACAAATAACCTGCTGTTTTCAAGGTTTTTACGTATGCTTCTTGCGAATCATTTTTTTCCGATAAACCACGACATAAAACAACTTTTTCGTAACGTAATGCCATATTCGCGAATTTTCTTTTCGTTACATGAAAAGGAAATTACCGCACACCCGGCATACCGGATATTTGAACGAAAATAAATACCCGCGATTTTATATATTACTAGAAACGGATGTTTGTAACTATTTCACATATCGATGAATATCGAATAATGTTAATTCACGAAGAAATATGATAATTTGTTGAAAATATTCAACACAAATTACAAATAAAAAACGCGGTAAAGTAGTAATTCAAATATCGGATTAAGAAATAGCAATAGCAAATTCAGATTTCGATCAAATATGGAAACTGTCTCTAGCGCATAAATGCAGAGCAATTAGACAAGGAAAGCAAAATAATGAGAGAAGGATAGAGATATGATAAAAACATTCAAATTAGCGCCATCTCCAGAGTGCCGCAAATGAAACTCACAAAAAAAGGACAGAAAATAGTAGGAAAAGGATAGAAATAGAATAAGAATTAACTATCAGCGCCATCTCTAGAATTCCAAAAACATTATATTAATAGAAAAAAGAATCATGTTTCTAGGAACATTCGAGAGATGGCGCTAATTTTTAATTCTTGTTCTACTTCTATCCTATTTTTAAGAAATCTTTAGTACTCAAGAGATGGCGCTAACGATTAATTCTTAGTTTATCTCCATCCTTCTCCCACTATTTTCTATCCTTTTTTTAAAAGTTTTGTTTGCGGCACTCTGGAGATGGCGCTGATTTCAATATTTTTATCTTATCTCTGTCCTTCTAGTATTTGTTCTCTCTATCTATGTTCGTTCTTAGCACATGGTTGTATGCGAGATCTCGAATGTCAATTAAATACACTTTTATCGTTTCAAAATTACAATGTGCACTAAATTCTTGATAAATTAACTTTTCTATTCTATCAAAAAGTTTATATATATTTGTATATATTTTAAATATATAAATTCTTCTATATACAGTTTAGAAAAGTATTGTCAGTGAACGTGTTCTTTACGTATTCTCCAAAAAGAAAAATAATGAAGGAAACACAGAATCGAGTTTGATTTCATTGTCACTTTTATTGAAACACTCTTTAGGGTATACAAGCTATTCTAGATAAGCATTAAGGAAAGTATAAAAAAAAAAAAAAAGAAAACATTGAACAACTGCTTACGAAATCACAAAGTGGATGTCTGTTCTTATTATCGATAAAACGTATCATTCGAACAGGTGCATTCGAAGGCACAACGATCCTCGACCCTTACGCATCGAGTATTTCGCCATGAAAACACGAACGATATAATGAAAATCGACGCACCATCTCAGTATCGTCGTAATGAAACATCATTTCACATTGGTCAAGCACAACGTGAAAACATGGACAATGATACAATGCCCTATAAAAGAAAAACTAACCTTAAAGAAGAAAGAACGCAAAGTAAAGGAGGACAGAGATATGGGATAAGTTGTAATATAGGGATATTTATGCGATGAATTGGTAGCATCGCAATCTGTTCTCCTGGCAAAATCTCGGCGAACGTCGACATACGAAATATTCATTCTTTATCTACGAACAATTATAACGCACAGAGTTCCATCGTAAAGGGGACCGAGTGCCTTCTTACTCGTATTCATTACGCAAAATAGAATGTTTATCATGAAGAATCCAAAATCTACATCTTCTTAACATTATATATAACTAGGGAAACTTATGTTACAGAGAACTGTAAGAAATATTATCGACATACGGATTAAAACGTATTCTTATCGTAAAATTAACTCTCATATCATCATTTGAATCGAACTCTTCGATTCTATTTTGCTCCATCTCTAAAATCGAAGAGGCAATGGTCTTGGCGGTATATTTAAATCGTATAAATGTATCTCTTTTTTCGCTTGATTTTCTTTTAGATTCACGAACTCCATTATTATTACTATTCTTTCAAACGATGTTTGTAACTACATTCGCATTGTTTATTTATAGTTTCGCTGATTATTTATCGCTCGCAAAATTTCATCGACGGGAAAAAAGGATAAAAGCGAAACGGAGTTTTTTTTTGAAAAGAATATAGAAGAGAAACATTGTAAAACTTCAGCTAATCTATCATACGCTTAAAACCTACTTAAATAATAATCACAAAAGACCAAAGTCCAGAGCGTTGGGTCTGGCCAGGACTGTTAAACCGACAGGTCTCGATACCTGATTTCGTTCGATAAAGAGTTCGTTAAGCAGTTCTTTTGCGCAATTGTCGGATGTCACAGGCCTTTGACGATTTCGTTTAGTGTACTGGACGCAGTATAATGTAAGTACGTACCGACTAACAACAGATCGTAGAACAAATCCATTGCACATTCGAATTTTTACTCGGTTATCGACCGAGGTTAAAAAATGAAAGTCAAAAGAATAATTTCTTAATATTTCATCGGTCTCTGTGAATAACAAGTAGAATGTTCGCCGAATGTTCAAGACGTAGCTGTGACAAACGATCGGTAATTTGTCAACTTCTCGAAAGGCGAATATTCATCAGAAAGAAGCCTCCTTTCAACGAAGAAAGGGGGGGGGGGGGAAAAAAAAGAAACGATGAATTCGTTACATCTGGGTCCAGCGTGTCGACGATTACCGCCACGGAATATAATCCCTTCCGGTACCGGAAACCATCGCGATGAAAAAAAAAAAAAAAAATAACAAACAAAAAAGAGATAAAGAAATAAATGCCTAGCAATTAACTCGAAGATACTCCGATAGTAAAATATTATGCAACTTACATACTTAATTGGCCTTAAACGTAAAATAGTAAAGTATAAAGATATGACTTAAGTACAACCACAAGAAGTTGGTCATTATTATGGCATTTATAATCCTTAACTACGCTTCCTATTAGATTAACTAACGGCGCGTGTTAGCACGTATCTTTCTGCTAATGATTGTGTCCCATGATTTTTCGCATTCTCCGCGCTATCCGAGTATCGCTTCCAGAATCGATATCATATTTTCTACTATTTTTTTTTTTTTTTTTTTTTTTTTTTTTT